CATATTATACTCCTCTTGGCGAAGCAGAAGGAGACTTGGTGGCGCAATGGCTAAGCACTCAGCTGCTAACTGAAAGGTTGGTGTTTGAACCCTTCAGCCATTCACAGGAGAAAGAGGAAACAATTTGCTTGTGTAAAGATTGGACCCTTGGAAACCCTATGGGGGCAGTTCTAACTCTATCATATAGGGTCACTATGAATCAGAATTGACTCAAGGGCAACGGGTTTGGTTTTGGGTTTTGGGAAAATAGGGGAGAATCTGTTTAGTTGTGGGACTTATTTTTAAAAAATGCATGGAAGTCCGGGTGCCATTTCGGAATCTCTAGAGCAGGGGGCTTGGGGATCTGCATTTATTCAGAAATGGGCCATGGGCCATGAGACTCTTGAGTTTCTCTGCTCTCTAGCCTCGTCCTGCCTGCAGGGACTGCCCCAGTGCAGCAGACCAGCAGTAGTTGGCAGGCCTCGGCTTTTCCCAGGCGTCTGCAGCTGGGCATTCCTGCTGAGGAGTGCTGAGGGCGCTGCAGCCCTGGGCTCACGGGTTCTGACTGGCAGGTCTGCTTCACCCTCTCGGCCATGGCTGGAAAATTGGGCTTTCCCACTTAAGTCCAGATGCCCCATGTCTTAGGGACTGGAGCACGGACTATGCTGGGGTTACAAGCATGTGAGCAGCCCCTGGAAAAGGCCTGGAATACAACAGGGAAAAACAGAAATGGTTAGGAGTGGTGAGATACCGAATGAGTTTTTAAAATTGTAGTATTTTTACAACTTAAAAAAAAAACCCAGTTGCCATTGATTCAACTGCAACTCATGATGACTCATGATGACTCATGTGTTTCAGGGGGTTTCCAATGGCTGACTTTTTGGAAATAGATACCCAAGCCTTTCTTCCCAGGTACCTGTGGGTGGACTCAGACCTCCATCATTTCAGTTAGCAATCGACGCATTAAGCTTCGTACCACCTCGGGACTCGCATTAAAGACCAAAAAAATCAGAGTACCGTCGCTGACCAAGTCCGCTCATCTCCCCTTGGCCCTCTATTGTGGTAACTGTGTGTATCTATTCTCCGTGACACCTCAGGAGAGTTGGCAGGGTTGGCCTTGGGATGCTTCATTGTGCCAGAATGGTCTGTGTGGGTTGCTGCAGGAATGCCCCGCTCTGTGTTGTTCTGGGCAAAACCCTAAGGATACATGAACCAAGCTTCCTGCCTGTCTGGAGCGGAACAGCAGATGTTCTCATGGCACTGGGCGGTGGAATTACCTTTATTCTGCAAGTGAGCATACTGGTCAGCCCTGCCCATAGGCAGGACACCTTGGGCATGGCTCAAGCCTACGTCAGGGGCCTGGCACTTAGTGGGCACTTAAAAATATTTAAGAGAGGAAGAAAAGGAAAAAGGGGAAAGGGTCACCCATAAGGTTTAATTTTAAGAAGCTGAGAATTAAGCCCATCAAATACTCCTAGCCCATGGCGACTGACATTTTCCCTGTCGATTCAGTGGTCCTTCCAGCTACACTGATCTGTCCCCTCTGAAATAGCCATCAATCATGTATTCATTCAACAATTCTTTATTGAACACCTACTGAATGCCAGAGGAGCTCTGGTGGTACAGTGCCTAAGGTTGACTGCTAACCAGAAGGCTGGAGGTTCAAACCCAGAAGCCACTCCTCAGAAGGAAGGTTGGGCAGTCTACTTCCATAGAGATACTGCCTCAGAAACCCAAGGAGGGGTCGCTATGAGTCGGGTCCAACTCAATGGCACATAACAACAACAATAAACTGAGTGCCAGGTTCAGTTCTGTGTTCTGGGAATACAGCTATGAATAGAAAGGTGAAAAATCATGCCTTCTTGAAGTTTACATTCTTAGGGGAGTGGGGAAGAGAGAAAAGAAACAAACAAGTAGGTTTGTTGGTGCCAACTGCTAGAGGAGGCAATGCAGAGAAGGGAGGTAGAAGGTAGGAGGAGTCTGGTACAAAAACTTGAGAGACAGTGACAGGGAGATCTCCCTGAGAAGGTGACAGCTGAGTAAGGACCTGAAGGAGGAAGGAGGCAAGCCATGAAGATAGCCAGAGAGAGTGTTCTAAGAAGAGAGAATAGCAAAGTCAGAGGCCCTGAAGTTAAGTCTTTGGTTTCTGTTATGTTCGTTTTCTCTCTTGAGCTGGATTGCACGCAACTTGAAGATAGGAATAATGATTTGAGAAAGAATTTTGATTGCCTTCTAGAAAGTATAGTATTTTACTCTTCAGTTTGTGCAAGTTCTGCAAGGTGAACACTCTGCTCCTTTTTTTTTATTAGCTTCCTCTGAGCCCTTGAAGGCCCTTCGGCTAGAAAAGTAGAATTTACAACTGCATCCCCCCTACCCCTCCCAGGGTAGCATGTCTAAGGTTTTTACATTTAAAAACCTGGGGAGAATGTAAATGGTTGTACTTGAGTGCAGGCAGTGAAAATGAATCATTTGATGAGGAAGAGCTGACAGAATTTAGCCCTCATGTGAGTTGGCTCACCTAGTGTATCTCTTTGTCCTCTCACTCAGCTATGGGCCCCCAGATGCCTGTAGGAGATTACACAACACTTAGCCAGCCCTTCAGAAAATGCTTTTGTTCTATGACTAGCTGAAGAGCATATCCTACTGCGTATCCAATTTCATGGCTGTAGGAAAATTGTAAGAAAGGAAAACAATGGTGAGCATTTTTAAATAATAAAAAGCTGAAATATTTGTGGTTTGAATAATTTCTTATTCATTTTTACAAGGTCTAATCAATTTAGGGGATGGCTCTCTTTTCTGCAGGACCAAGGGGTAAGGGACACACACAGCCTAGGCAGCAGCCTAGAAAGAAGACAGACAGAGGGACAGAGGGACTGGAGTGGGGAGAGCAAGCCAGTAATTAGAAGCTGAAGTGCCAGAAAACAGCATAAGACTTGTACCACAGGTGGGTATGTGTGACACCAAATATGGAGAAGTATTAGAGTGTTGGCAGGGAGTGTAGGAGTGAGTTGAAGATAAATTGTGTAGCAAATCTGCGGCTTCCCCCCTGCTATGAGGTAGAGCACTTTAAAATGTACCCTGTCATGTTCATATCGGATTGGACATGGCATAAGTGAAGGTGAATTCATAATTTTCAAATCTTGTCTTAGAACAATAATTTATGCACCCTCTGACTTTAGGCAATAGTAAACCTTCAATAAATGTTTGCAGTTGAAATTCTGCATGAATCCAAGATAGCAAAACCAAACCCACTGCCATCAAATCAATTCTGAGTCATAGTCGAGTTGTCCATAGGGCAGAGTGGAACTGCCTCATAGGGTTTCCAAGGACTTAAATCTTGAAGGAACTAGATTGCCTCATCTTTCTCCCATGAAGCAGCTGGTGGGTTCAAACCATTGACCTTTTGGTTAGCAGCCAAATACGTTAGCCACTACACCACCAGAGCTCCTTGGAGCAAAGATGAGAATTTAAAAAGTCACACTCCATCCCCATCCTTTTCTCTGTCGCTGGTATTTGAAACACACGGCCTTGAAATAGGTACATGTACTTCCCTTGCATAGAATAAGCCTCTGTTTTGTTTTCGTTTTTTTCTTTTTCACTCACTCAATTTTACTAAACCTGCTCCGAAGCTTCACACAAACCTCCAGACCCTCACATGCTGCCTTTTCCTCTGTCTGCTTTCTTCCTTCCCCTATGTCTGGACTTCCTGGGGTATCACCTCCAGCAATCTAATGATCAGGGGAGGCTACTTTTTTTTCTAATTCTGTTATGTTAATTAACTTCTATTTTTTATAGATAAAGCAATAGTGCCTAGACTGTGGGCTAAAGAGTCTGTAGGCTAAAGGCTAGTTTAGCTGGCATACTAGTTAAACTGTTGTTGTTGTTATGTGTCGTCAAGTTGAACCCGACTCATGGTGACCCCTCTTTGGGTTTCTGAGGCAGTATCACTATGGAAGTAGATTGCCCAACCTCCCTTCCGAGGAGTGGTAGTTGGGTTTGAACCTCCAGCCTTCTGGTTAGCAGTCAAGTGCCTTAGGCACTACATTACCAGAACTCCCACTAGTTAAAACTACTACATCACAGACCAGATAGTAGTGGCTATCTTAATTGCAGGCATAATGCCCAGAAGGAATTAAGTCCTCTAAATTAAGTCCTCTAGACCTAAAATTGTTAAGTAGAAAATGTCACTATGACCTTTTTCCAATTTATGAAAACTCCCCCACCACCTCTTCCTCCAGCTAGTTCTATCATCAGAGGCAACCAATGTACCAATGTTTTGTGTATCTTCCACATGTTTTACACATATACAAACAGATATACACAAAAAATACATACATATTTCCTCCTCCGTTTTTTTAAATACAAAATAGCAGCATAGTATACAGAGTATTGTATATATTGTTCCATGTCTTGGAGATCACTCATATGGTTGTGTTGTTGCTGGGTGCATGGAGCCGATTCTAAAGCACAGTGACCCCGTCTGACAGCAGGAATGCCCCACAGGGCTTTCTTGGCTGTGATCTTTATGGAAGCAGATCTCCAGATCTTTTTCCCATAGAGCCACTGGGAGCATTTGAACTGCCAACCTTTGGGTTATCAGCTGAGTACTTAGCCGTTGTGCCATCACAGCTCCTTAATTAGTTACTAAAATTTCTTTCATTGTGCATTCCAAATACACAAAATAGTCCGCATAGAGATCATTTCTCTTTCTTCAGTTCTTGGCAGTTAATTTTCATCCATGTTTTCCCCTTGCTGGTGAATGACTTCTGTCACAGGATGGCTCAGTCACATTCTTTGAATCACCTTTCAGATAAAAGATCATCCTATTGAGCATTAGTGCTTTTGCCTGGAGGCTTAAGTGAACAGCTTATGTAATTGGGCCTCCACAAGCACATTGGTTTCACACTACTGCTAATTTAAACCACATCCTGAAAGAGGTCTTTTAAGGTCATGTAGAGTGGGGACTCTTAAGAAATCTCTCTTCTAAGGCTGTGGCATGTTTTCTCATTTCAGAAATTAGAATGAACCGAAGCATTCCTGTGGAAGTCGATGAATCAGAACTGTACCCAAGTCAGTTGCTGAAAGCAATTCCAGAATATTCCCTGGGAGAGGAATCAGCTCCAACTGCTCCAAATACAAGGGACATGGAACTCACAAGCTTGTCTGCACTCCAGACCCCTCACTGTTCCTCAGGAGAGGCTACTCAAGCTCACTCGCCCCTGAAACTTGCAAATCATCAGTGGCCTGTGTCCCAGCAGGCCACCTGCCTACACAATACAGTCCTGGAGGAGAGTGAAGACAGCTTCTGCAGGAGACACACAGACCTGGGCAAAGATTTTCCCTCAGGCCCCTCTGTGGCCAGTGAATCTGACTCTGAGTTAATGATTGGAGCCTTCCTTCCAGAACATCAGTTTTCATTTATAGAAAAACGTAATCAATGGCTGGGATCTCAGCTTTCAGCAGCTTCTCCTGACACTGGCCATGACTCAGACAAATCAGGCCAAAGTTTACCTAATGCCTCAGCAGACTCCTCAGGCAGTGGCCAAGAGACAGTGCAAAGGCCCCACAGGAACCCAGCAGCCCCAGATCTGCCTACTATCGACACTGGGTATGACTCTCAGCCCCTGGATGTCCTAGGCATCAGGCAGCTGGAAAGACCCCTACCCCTCACCTCTGTGTGTTACCCCCAGGATCTCCCCAGACCTCTCAGGTCCAGGGATTTCCATCAGTTTGAACCTCAGAGGTATCCAGTATGTGCACAGATGCTGCCTCTCAACCCTTCCCCACATGCTCAGTGGAACTATCACTACCATTGTCCTGGAGGTCCAGACCACCAGGTGCCATGTAAGTGACCTCTACGTTCTGGGCTGGGTAACTGAGTAAACGATGGTCTTCCTTCAGGATGTAGGGAGGGCATTCTGCTTCTCATGGGCACTTTCCATGTGGGGTGAGATTTGCAAAGGATCTTCTTGTTGTTAGGTGCCATTGATTTTGACTCGGAGTGGCCCCATGTAACAGATTTGAACTACTCATAAGATTTTCTAGGCTATAATGTTTATGGAAGCAGACTGTCAGTTCTTCTCCCATGGAGCTAATACATGGCTTTGAACCACCAACCTTTCAGTTAGTACCCAAGCGCTTACCTGCTGTCCCACAGGGCTCTTCACAAAAAGTCTTAGAGGAATGCTTTGTCTAACTCTAAAACCTGTTCCACTTAGAACCTCTTTCTCTAGGGACCTTTAAGGACAAAACAGAGTCCTCCATCTGGGTTAGTTTCACTGAAACCTGCCTAGAGTCAGGGAGATGACCCAAATGACCTCTAGAAAACTTACTGTCCTAACTCTTGTGTACATGAATTCTTTCTCTTCATGTCTCTTCTCCATCTTAAACTTGACAGGAAGAGGGGCCTTCCGTCAAAATCTCAGAAGGTGCCCAGAGTGTCACTAAGACTCTGGGTATTACATGAAGATCAAGTTGCTCCTATAATTTTGTTGCTTAAACTCCTTTTGGGACTTGAGTCGTCCTCATCTACCAGGCACTCCAGCCATAACCCGAAGCTGGTACTCCCCCAGACTTGTTAAGCTGTTTCTTGCAAACTTGTTAACGCACATTTTGATGCACTTGCCTGTGCAACTTCTTCTATGCAAGATGTTCTTCCCCTTCTTGTGCATTGACCCAGTTCTACACATTTCTTAACAGCTTTATTGAGTTTCCATACCCTAAAATCCTACCATACCATAAAATTGTCACTTCACCCATTTTAAGTGCATGATTCAATGAATTTTAGTATATTTACAGAGTTGTGCAACCATCACCAACCATCAAGTGTCCCTCTGGAAACCTCAGACCTCAGTCCTGTCTCCCTTGTGCTCTGCCTCTGTCTCAGGACCCAACACCAGTACGGCATTTGCTCATGGACTTGTCTGCCTCTCCTTTCAGACTTGGTTTTGCATGTCAGTGATGGTGTTTCTTTTTTTCCCAAGTAATAATCTCTTCTTATTTGAAATCTTTACCCCTGTGCCTGACATTGGCTGGTTTCAGAGTACTATTGGCTGCTGCTATTGCTGTTTTTAGGTGCAGTTGAGTTGATTTTGACTACTAGCAGCCTATGTGACAAGAGTTTAACAGCCCAATGGTTTCTTTCTAATCGATGATTACCCAGCACTTAGCACAGTGCCTGACATGGTACTAAACTCAGAAAATTATTTATGAATGAATGAATGAATAATATGTATCACTGCTGTAAGAATCTCTGAAAATGGTTAAAGCCTCAGATAGAGATAATAGGTCCATTATAACAATTAATGTCAAGTTTCTGCTGAGACAACTGGAAAAACAATGGATTTTTCAGATGCAACGCAGGGTTGTGAGATGTGATTATTTTTCTTAGCAAGTAAGTATTGTACAAAAAAGCAGTTCAAATAGTGTAAGAAGAGTCTGACCAAAGGGCTGGTACCAACCTTTAAAATACAGAAATGATCACAAAGGCTGTAATCAACCACAATTATAAAGCTTCCAAGGAACCCTAGTGGCACAACAGTTAAGCACTCAGCTATTAACTGAAAGAATGAATAGGGGTTTAACCCGCCCAGCAGTTCTGGGGGAGAAAGATCTGGTGATCTGCTCCCATAAAGATTACAGCCAAGAAAACCCTAAAGGGGCAGTCTTACTTGGTCATATGGGGTTGCCATGAGTCAAAATCAACTCCAGGCACCTAACAACATCATAAACTTCCCTAAAGTGAATGAAGCAATTTAGAGTTTGAAAAGAGGAAGGGTGTGGAGGTAGAGAAATTTAATTTAATTTGATTTAGAAGTGCTTGGAAGAAATAGATAAGGAAGACTGAGCCAGTAGCTGGGGAAACAGCAAGACTTAGTGGGAGGGACCCTTGGCTAGAGGGGGAGAAAGAGCTCAGGAGGCCTAACATTAGGCCTAGGTTGAAAGACGCCTGGGAAATCACCTGATTGGGATGCATGGACCCCTGCTGCTCTGCGGGCCCAGTAATAGAAAGGGAGAGGCGGGTGAGTTCCTTAAGTAGGAATCACTGAGGACTCCAGAAGGGCAAGTCCAAGGCTGCGTTGATTTCTCAGTGATTTCCAGGTTGGAAGGAATAATTTTATGAGAATAGTACCAGAAGGCTGGCGGTTCAAACCCACCAGCCACTCCTCGGAAGGAAGGTTGGGCAATCCTACTTCCGTAGTGATACTGCCTCGGAAACCCAAGGAGGGGTCGCTATGAGTCAGGGCTGACTCGACGGCACATAACAACAACAACAACAACAACAGTACCACAAACTATTTTTTAACATTCTATCATCATTTAAAAATATTTTTTCCGATCATGAAAGTAACACTCACTTACCCCAAAATTTGATATGTACCAAAAGCTTCAAAAAAGAAAGAAAAAAAGTATCTGTATTTCTAATACCCAAATATATATAATCCGTCATTAGGGTTCTGGCATATTCTAGTGGGTTGGTTTTTTTCCTTGCATGCATATTAAAATTAAAATTAAAATAATTTCCAATATTGATCCATGTACTTCTTGCAACACCATTTTAAAATGCCTCGTAGTATTTTATCAGAAAGATCTACCAAATTCTATTCTCAATAGCTGGACATTTTAAATGTTCCCATGTTTTTGTTTCAATTAGCGATGCCATGGCATACATCGTGTGCCTAAGTTTTATCTGCATTTCTGGTTAAGTCTTTAGATTTATATGTAGAAAGTATGTAGAAAGTAGAAGTGTGACTACTTAGTCAAAAGCTTTGTGAGGAAAAAAAAAGCCTCAAGTCATTGCTCCTACCAGCAGGAGAAAGCTTGAGCATGATAGACCAAAAAAAAAAAAAAAAAAAAAAAAAAAAAATTCACTGAATGTTTTAATTGGAATGTCCCAGGAAGATCTTCCCACTTCAAAATATTTTCTCTATTGAAGCCTGGCATGGCACCATTAGTGATCCATTCTTTGGAGGTAAGCATTGTCCTCTGTAGGTATAAAAACCCACTGCCATCAAGTCCATTCCAACTAGTAGCCAGGGCCTGGGTTGTTTCCTGGTCAGGGAACCCCTCTAGGTGTTGTTGTGCTCTGGTAGCATAGTGCCTAAAGCACTTGACTGCTAGCCAGAAGGCTGGCGGTTCAAACCCACCAGCCACTCCTTGGAAGGAAGGTTGGGCAATCTACTTCCGTAGTGATACTGCTTTGGAAACCCAAGGAGGGGTCTCTGTGAGTCATATCCGACTCGACGGCACATAACAACAACAACTACAATACCTCATACCGCCTTTATTTCATCAGATTGATCTTCCCTCTGTCTGTGTGTTATTTCCTTCTATTGATGGTGGGAGGTAGGGCTGGGGGAGAGTAAAACCTAGGACCCTGGGAGTGAAGAGAAGTGATGAAAAGCAGTAAAGAGAGAACTTGGACTCCAAAAAAGCCCAAACTCACTGCTGTCGAGTTGGTCTGGACTCAGAGCAACCCCTCCTTGGGTTTCCGAGGCAGTAAATCTACGGAAGTAGATTGCCCAGTCTTCCTTCCCAGGAGTAGCTGGTGGGTTTGAACTGCCAGACTGGAGAAGGGAATAAATCACAGAAGCAGCCAATGTGCACATGAAACCAAGCTTAACCTCACTAAATTTAAGACATACAAAGTTTAAGAAGACAGCTTTTTCCTTATTGTTTTTGTTGGGTGCTGCTGAGTCTATTCGGAGACATGGAGATCCCATGGACAGAGCAGAACTGTGCCATAGGGTATTCTTGGCTGTAATCGCTACGGAAATAGATCATTGGGCCTTTCTCCTGTGGAGCTGTTGGGTGGGCTCAAACAGCCCACATTTTGATTAGCACTTAACCCTTGTACCACCAGGGTTGTTATTGTTATCAATGTTATTGTTGTTGTTAAGTGCTGTCAAGTTGGCTCCAACTCGTAACAACCCTACGACAACAGAATGAAACCCTGCCTGGTCCTGCAGCATCCTTACAATGACTGCCATGTTTGAACCACTGTTGCAGCCGCTGTGTCAATCCATCTCATTAATGGTCTTACTCTTTTTCACTGACCCTCTATTTTACCAAGCATGATGTCCTTCTCCAGGGAATGGTCGCTCCTCATAGCATGTCCAAAACTCACTGCCGTCGAATCAGACCCGACTCATAGCAACCCTCCTTGGGTTTCCGAGGCGACATCACTATGGAAGTAGATTGCCCAACCTTCCTTCCGAGGAGTGGCTGGCGGGTTTGAACCGCCAGCCTCCTGGTTAGCAGTCAAATGCCTTAGGCACTATGCCATAACATGTCCAAAGTAGGTGAAATTAAGTCTTACTATCCTCGCTTCTAAGGAGCATTCAGTCTATACTTGTAGGACAGATTTGTTTGTTCTTTTGTCTTCCTTATTCATTGTGCAGCTTTCATATGCATATGAGGCTATTGAAAATACCATGGCTTAGGTCAGAAGCACCTTAGTGACATCTTTGCTTTTTCACAATTTAAAGAGGCCTTTTGCGGCACTTTTTAACACTTTAAAGACGTTTTCTGTGCTCTTATCAAGCATGCAAAAATCAAACTCTGACAACAGCCACTGTCAGTGTGGTTCTGGGGAGATGAAGCATTCCCAGGCACTCTTGGTAGGAGTATAAACTCACTGCCATCGTATTGATTCCGACTCATAGCAAACCCCATAGAGTTTCCAAGACTGTAAATCTTTGTGCAAGCAGATTGCCTCATTTTTCTTCCATGAAGCAGCTGGTGGGTTCGAACCACCAACCTTTTGGTTAGAAGCCCAATGCCTAACCACAGCACCACCAGAGCTCCTTTGGTAGGAGTGCAAACTGGTAAAATTTTCTAGAAGG